CCCCAAAACCCCAAAACCCCAAAATCTAGTAGTATGGAATTAGACTGGATTTTGAAATTAATGCAAAGTAGGATTCTTATTCAATTAATTAAAATTATCCCTTAGAATAAAAAATGCAAAACTAAAATGAAAAATTTCAACCACTCATTTCTAAATATAAAAACACTCTCTCTTGAGTATCTTCTTCATTGGGGAATAGCCATGTTTTTAATCTGACTTAACTTAGAAATGTATCTACAACCCTAGGAGATGATTCTACAAGGAATCCTAGGAGATCACCTAGGGTAAACAACCAATAAAGCAACATTATGAATTCATAATTCTTGAGTAATCTATCAACGTCAATGATTAGCAATGGACCAAATTAATCCTCTTAGTTCATTACACCGAACCTACCACTCCTTAACGCAAAAGAAGGAATAAAGAAAGAAGAAAAACTTGTTCAAATTACTGAGATAATGGAAAGTGTTTATCATAATGATTCATTCGATAATACTGAAGAGAATTTATTCAACATTACAGAGCAGTCTTCAGAGGAGGACATAAGAATAGGTTCTCATGCATATCTAAAGTTTTTCTAAAGATACAAACAATCATATAAGTATCTTCAACCACACCTTAAATAATTGCAGCAGCAACAATAGTAGTAGAAATAGACTAAACCTCCTCTTCCAAAGTAAGATTTTAAAGATAAAGCCAGGTTTGGCAGATCATAATCACCTCGTTTGTAAAGACCCTCTAAATAAGCCACCTCTTTAATAAATCAAATGCAATTAAGTCAGATGTAAATGACTTAATCAAATGGATTTATAACAGAGAGGAGAAATTCAGATGTCTCTATAAACCTTAATCCAGCTGGGACTAAAAATGATTAAGCAAGGAAAGAATACTTGAAAGAAATTGAAATTATGAAACTTCCTCCAGTGCCATTTGGGGTTGTCTAAAAAGTTGGTAGTAATAAGGCATTTAACCTTAGAGAAAAGGGGATTGGAAAATACTACTATAGAGCTGTTGGGAAAAGTATTTAATGCTTAAAAGGAGAAGTTTTTGATTTTCAAAACAATAATCTTAAAGAACACCATATTGAGACTTTGATAGATGGGCTTTTCAGCGCTAAAGAGATTGATCTAAAAGATAATAATATAGGATAAGCAGGAGTAGATTTGTTAATATAGAAAGTCATTCTATCTAGCAATTGCAAACTTGAGATTTTAAATCTTGAAAACAACAATATAGGTGATAGAGGTATAAGATATTTATGCGAAGCACTCTGCCAAAGTACAGATAATTTAGTAAAATTAAACATTTCTAAAAACGAATTGACTGACTAATCTATTAACTTTATTGCTAAGCTTATAACTGACTCTTCCTCCCTTAGGGAACTTAAAATGCATTGGAATAAATTGGGTTCAAATAAATTACCCACATTGATTGATGCTCTTTCTAAAAATAAGAGACTTAAAGTACTTGACATAAGTTGGAATGCTCTAGGATCTTATGAAAGAAGCGACACATTTTAAGTTGGTGAGATTTTAGGAAGATATCTGAATAATAACAAATCACTAGTACATTTGGATCTGAGTTTTAATGGTTTAAATGAAGACGACTGCCTATAACTTGGTGAATATCTCAAAGAAAATCATACTCTACTTGGTCTTCATATGAGAGGAAACTAAGGCATGATTGATTCTTTGGGATTTATTCTTAAGAAACCAGATCCAAAATAAGAGTCTGTTTAAAATATAAAACCTGGTAACATGCCTTTTTACAAAAGAATAGTAAGCAGGTAGTAATCGAGAAGAAATTCTGATCATAACATATCTCCTAAAAATAGTAGTTATCAATCATAGAGTCAGCATTAGAAATATATAGATAAGCATTACGAGAGTGATAGATGCTGGATTTGCGAAGGATGGTCTGAAAATAATTTTATCTTTCATGTTGATGAAATCAATCAAGAAGACCTTGAAAATATAGATGTAAGAATCCACTTTTAATACGAAGAATTCAGAGGGTAAAAAATGATAAGGTGCTAGTAGGATGAAAAACTTTTTATAATTTGGAAGATGCTACCTCCAAGCGAGCATGTCTACTATTTTACAGTTAATGGTTAGATTAAAATTAATTATGGACATCATTCCCATATAAGAAAAGAGAAGATATAGGTGATTCATCCTGATAGTAATTTTGGATTTGTTCTGGATGAGATTAATGTGCACACATCCCATAGGAATGATACAATCATCAACCACTACTACAAGCAAACCTTGAAGCATTGTGTCCCAAGACCATTATAGCTGGAAATTCTTTTAGAAATAGAAGAAGAAATAAGACTGAAGACACCTTGGTCGTTTGAAAATTCGATATTTAGAAATTATAAAGCTGACACTGATGAAATTGTAAAGTAATGCTTTGAGTTCGATTGGGGTTGCATAAGAAAACCAAAATTTGATGATGCTGAGGAAGAATTCAGAGTAAAATAAGAGCTTTACCATGGCTACAAGTTGATTAAAAATTTATATAGACCTTACAGTGCTCTTGGAAAGATAGGTAATATTTTTGCTATTGGATTGAATACATACACTGATATAATGAGAGAGGTATTGGATCTTGTTGACTAAGAGCATCTCAAACTTAATGATACTGATATGTTCTTTATTATTGTAAATTCCATTAAAAAAGGAGAAATCAATCCAGCTAATGGTCTAGTTCGCTATTAATTCCTAGAGATTATGATGAGAGTTGCTTTGAAGAAGTATCATTCTTCTGGTTTTTGCAAAACATAAAGTGAAGCAGTTGCCAAATTAATTGATAAAAATTTCATGCCAATACAGAATAGCATCCTATATCAAAACCACGGCTGGAGAACACAGAGATATTGGAATGAAGGTTGCGATAACGCACTTAAAGCATTTAGACCTTTGTTAGAATGGATTTATCATAAATTCGGTGGCACTCACAAAAAACCAGGCGAAAAGACATTTATGACAGTAGATGAATTTGAAAACTTTATTAACGTTGCTAATCTTTGTAACGATTTGTTATTTCAAAGAGATATTTGTGTTTGTTTCAACTTAGCTATGATGACTTAAGTAAATGAGATATCAAAGGATAGACATCTAAGAGCATCATTCATAGAATTTCTAGAGGCATTAGCAAGAGCTGTTGATAAAGCATCCACAACAGATTACATCCAACAGTAGGACTAAAGTTAAGTTCTGAATTAGACTACAGATTCTTTTAATGGGGTCAATGAGGAATTAATGAAAGAAAGAGTTAATAGATCCTTGCAATTAAAGCTAATCAGTTTCATGGAGAGAATTATATAATTCTGTTTAACAAAAAGTTTCAAGGAAAAATATGAATACCCTCAGTTGGAAGACCCTGATAAGATGATGTTTGTGATTAAAGATAACTACAAGTGAATATTAATGAAGTCTTAGATTATAAATTTTAATTTAAATTAAATAACTAAACATTGAATAAGGCTAAAAAATCATTTACTTGGGGTTTTGGGGTTTTGGGGTTTTGGGGTTTTGGGG